TGAAAAAAGATGTCACCGATGAACATGCCAAAGTGAGTGGGAAAAGCCCATGAGGCCTCAGCCCTACACAAAGGACTAAAGACAACCGAGGAAAGCTGGGAGCGGGACAGGTGGTCATCCTCAGGGAGCATACCAACTAGTTGTCCAGTGCCAAATGGTCAGCCCTAAAACATATGTACAAGTAACGCTGTAAAGACTCAATGGGTTATATTTAGGAATATTTTGGATACACACACACACACACACACACACACACACACACATGCACACAATAAAAATTACTGAAAAGAAGTCATGAATCTGAAGGAGAGCAGAGGACTATATGGGGGGCTGGAGGAAGGGAAGGGAAGAAAGAAATGTAAATAAATTATAATCTTGGGACATCTCGCCCTTGCACTTGAGAAAGATGGCCTGCCCCTCGCCACAGGTATGCATGAGGTACACAAGTGAGCTGAGCCCGAGGGCCTGAGAACAGCACAGCTGACCCCACCCCACCTCATCTGCCAGGAGGTGACATGGATGAGGAAAACATGCTCTCTCCCCTCCATCCCTTGCTATCTGTGGCAGACAAGAGAAGTGACCCCAAGTTCACAAGTGAGAGAACTAGCCCTGTCCCACACTCACTGCAGCAAAAGGAGATCGGGTCCTGTGCCCACCTGAGCAGCACACTAGAGAGCTAATCCTGCGGTCCAGGTCCCAGGTGAGCCAGGCCTGAGGGCCTGAGAACAGGAGAGCAGACCCAGCCTTTCCTAGTGTTCCCCCTAGGCAATCAGGAGAGAGGGCCCTGCACCTTGCCTGGGCGAAACAAAATAGCTGGCCCTGGTGATTTGTGTGTTGGGGACCTGGAGCTGGGGCCCCCTGAGAGCAGAACTGGCCCTGCTCCTTGCTGCAGGCTGCACTGGGTGAGCTAGCCGAGACAGTGCTGGAGAAGTGACCAGGAGGGAAAGCTGGCATGCTACCACCCAGGCCCAGAACCAGGGCTATGAGTTGGCCCACCCCAATTTCCAACGAATCTATGAACTGTTGGAGCTTATAAACCAGATGAACCTACAGATCTAAAACAGCAGAATCTCTGTGATACAGGACAATAGGATATCAAGGGGGTGTAGCAGAGACAAGAGGCCTTGAGCCAGACCAATGACTCTGGGCAATGAACACTTGAAGTAAAGAGGAATGGATTAAAGGGTAGACTGTGTGACTCAACAGGCCACAGCTTCCATGACAAGATTCTTCTTCTTTTGGTGTTTCTTTGTTTTGCTTTGCTTTTGGTTTTTCTTTTAAATTTGGTTTTGATTTGGGTGGAAGGTTGCAAGAGCAGAGGGCAAATGTGAGGGGATGGGGAGATAAGCGGGATGGGAATGCATGATGTGAAATCCACAAAGAATCAATAAAAGTTAAAAAAATTATAATCTCAAAATTAAAAAATAACAAAAGTACAGAGGAGAGGGAGGGGGGAGATGTTTGACACTGACCTATAAACACATGCCTGTGCACACACAGGCATACCTACCTGCATACATGTGCGTGTACACACACAGACACACTTTAAAGATGTCATTTTGGGCTGGAAGTGTAGTTCAGTGGCAGGTTAAATACCTACCATACAAGATACTCTAGGTTTATTCTCTAACATAAAGAAAAGAGAAAGAAAGAAAGAAAGAAAGAAGGAAAGAAGGGAGGAAGGGAAGAAGGGAGGGAGGAAGGGGAGAGAGGGAGGAGGAGAGGGGGAGGAGGGGAAGGGAGGAGAGAAGAGAGGGAGGGAGAGTGAAGGAGGGAGAGAGAGATACAATCAGTGGTTTTTAGTGTAGTCACAAAGTTGAGCATCTACCCCAACACCACCAAATTCCCAAACATTTTCGTCACCACAAAAGGAAAGTCTGCAACCATTAGCAGCCCAAATACTCTTTAATTTGGATAGGTGTTGCCATATTGCTTTACCAAAATTAAAGCAACAACCTTTGGCATCGTCTCACCACAGAGTACAAACCCTTACGGGTTTCTGGCTGCCCTTACTTCCTCCTCCCTGAACATGCCAGGATTTCACTGGTCAGAGAAGGCAGTGCCCCTACTCCTCTGTCCCCCCAAAGATCCAGCATCCTGGCATGCTTTCCACACTCACAAAGGTACTGAAACAACTGGGAGTGGGGTGCCGTGGTAGAGCTCTTGTCTCACACGAGCAAGGGCTGGTTCCATGGCCAATATTGGAAATAGGGGACTAAATGCAAATAAAGAATGCATTTGAAATTGCACCAAGGGCTGGAGAGATGCAATTTCTCTCCAGAGGAGCCTCTGTTCTTTCTTGCAGAAGATCAGGGTTTGGATCTCCGCACCTTGTCAGGTGACTCACAACTACCTGTAACTCCTGCTTCAAGAGGTCTGATGCCCTCTTCTGGCTCCGTGGGCACTGCACTCATGTGCACGTGCCTACCCCACTCCCCACACAAACAATTACAAATAAATACAAAAACTTTTGAAAAATGCTCTGAAAGTCCAGCCTGACTTCAACAAGTGTTTCACAGTCCTTCAGAGGACGCACCACTGTGTGCAAGTGTACATGGCTACAATTCCGATCTCGTGAAGGACAGAGGTATTCTAGTGACCCCAAGGCTCTAAGTTCAATGCCATGGCAACAAGGAAACAAAAGCAACAGCAGCCTTTTACACCCCGTGCACTGACCTAATACCAGGTTGCTCTGTCCTTGAATGACAAGTACCTATGTCCACAGGGCCATCCAACTGAGACATCCTCTGCACACACTTGCTTCCCCCACTTGTGGGCCTCCAGGCCCCCATTGGAAAGACTTCACACCCAAGACAACTGGTTCTGCAAACTGGTCCCAGCTCTGCCGCTTGGCTCACAGCCCCGGGCTGAGAATGCAGCCCGCTCAGCAGCCTGGGTGGACAACGCCTGCTCCCCTTTCTTCCTTTCCTCCTGTGTGCTTTAGGGAACATCGAAGGAAGGATAATTAGAACCTGCAAGAAAATCCACTGACAGGCAGGAGGAAAGGAAACTGTGGTGACTTAAGGGCGCCGCCACATGTTTATGGGCGCGTGTTTGTAAGTAACACGGCAATAAAAAAGACACTCCTATAAAATGCCACATTCTTCAAAGCTCTACATAAACGGCATTCTCTTTTAAGGGGTGGGGACTCAGTCATGTCCCTTCCTCATCATTTCACTTCCAATAAGCAAAAACAATCCTAATTTTACCATCTCTTAGTAGGGCAGACATTACAGAGCCGACTGCACAGAAACATTCACACACATGCGTGCGCACACATGCTGGAGAAACAGAAAAGGTGCAGGGAGATCTTTTTATGGCTTAGCAGTGCAGGTGCCAGGGGTAGCAGGGTAGGAGTCTCACTGCCTCTCTTCGGGCCTTCTGGCTGTTCATATTCAGCATACATACTCGAACTCCAAAGCCAGTCTGGTCCCACTCTCCTGAGAGAGCGGCCAGTGCTATCTGCACACCACCAAAGTAAGGGTGTGTCTGTGTGTGTGCGCTCTGCCTTCATTTCCTTCTGCTTTGCCAACTGCGAGGCAAAGCAGAGCCTTCTGCCTGCGTAAGAAGCTCCAGGACATGAATTCCTGAGTGGCCCTCCCCGGGAGCCAGTTGTGGGCAGGTAACTGAAGCCTGCCTTTTGCCTTGCTGTTAATAAGAGTAATTGGCACACCGCGGAGGGGCTGCAGCGGTGCTGTGATTTGCTCAGTACAGAGGTCTCCCCTGACCAGATGTGTCGGCAGCGGTGATAGAAATATTTTCCATATGAGCTTTCCTCTCGCCTGCTTAAGTGCTCCGGGCTGAGTGAGGTGGGCCCATTTGCCATTTACTCCACACAGTAAAAAAAATCAACAGGGAAGTTGCAAACTTCAGCTACAAGCAGAGGCCAGTGGTCTGCTTTGAGCTTTTAGCTTTCCTAATCTACCAGGCATCTCCACTTCCCTCTCGGGAGCTCTGTTCCCCAGAGACTATCCACAGTGCAGAGGGCGAAAAGCCTAGGACAAATGACCCGGGAGCTGAGAGCTCGTGGAACCTTCCTCAGTCTTGCAGCATGGGCGCAGGCTGGGGAAGCATGCTCGGGGAGAAAAGCAATGACATTAGCTTTCAGGACTCACTTGGCTCCTGACAAGGTGAACAAAAGGCAAAGCTGGGAAGTGGCCTCGTAGCCCTTTTAAAAGCTGTACACAGTGGGCTTTTCAGAGGGAGATGAGCTCCCTCCAAGTCAGTAGTGAAGGAACGGAGGAAGACTCAAAGTTGGTGCCAGCTCATTTGCACGGCAGGGTGGGGACATTAAATGTTCCTCTCTCCCTGCTCAATGAGCAACACTTCAGGCTCTGCCTGCATCAAAACTGGCTCCCAGAGGCATCAGTGATACCCAGCAAACACACGAGCTAGACCAATAAGAAGCTGCCCCCACAAACCCCCAAAACATGCCTCCTTTTTCTGGCAGATCTAAGCACACTTGTAGCCATGCTGGCTGCCACTTTCCCTTTCCACACTCATGACAGAAAGAGAAACACTGGCTTATCCATGCCCCTTAAGGCAAAGAAAGAGAAAAGCATGGCAGGAAGGCAGGAAAGCAAGGCAATCTCTCACACATGCAGATTCTCTCTGAGGCACTGGGGGGAAAAATGCCTCAAAGGCTATGTCCTTCCTGCATCTGTACTAGACCTTACTAGAATCTAACATATACGCCACCCTCCACCCCAGAGCCCCGCAAACAGCAGAAGAAGCATGCATTCCTCAGGCATCTGCCACCCAGGGCATGTCAGGTCCCCAGGGTGGCAACTACATGGACAGGCTCAGCACAAGACTTCAGAAAGTACAGGATCCTTCAAGAAGAGAAGTTTCCCTGTGAGAAAAGTCTAAAATAAAGTCATATAAAGCATTATTCTTTGCACACCATAAAAACCTATTCCTTGATCCCTCTTCATAGGAAGAAGGGGAAATTTAATACTGACAAAAAGAGAACTTCTGACAAGATCGTTTATTTGGCTTACCTCTCCCCCTGGTCTTGCTAACACTGCTGTCTCAGTGTGGAACAATGTTAATAACAGGTAGCTGACAAGCATTATTACCCAGAATCAGAGCTACCCTGGAGGAGAATCCGGCAGCCAAGAGCTAACGCTAGCAGATGCACTTGCGGCTCCGGGATCCCAGCCTGGAGTTCCGTGGGCACCGCGCTGGTTCCCTGGCTCCTTCCCTCACTGCGCTACCCCGTGCTCGGAGCTCAGCCTCTGCGCTGAAGAAAACTGGTAAGCTGATCTCTTCATGTAATAACTTCTCCTGGCTGGGGGAGGGGAAAGGAGCCGGCTGGGAGCTGGGGGGCTGCCTTTAACAGAAAGCAGAAAAGGGGAGGGACAGAAATGATCAATGTGGAGGCTGCATCTGGCCTCATTCATGAAAAGGGCTCCAAGGTAAGCACTTCGAATGCAGGGGGGTGGCAGGCTGTGACGGGAGGAGATGCAGGCTGGCAGCTTGGGGAGCAGGGACCCTCAAGGCCTTCTTCTTACCTCTGGGTCTGGGGCTAAAGGGCTTGGTGAGCTACACAAGTTACCAGCCCACTCTGGGATATAGCCCCCCCCCCTTCCCCACTGGTCCTAAGTCAAGAGGTGGGTGGATAGCTTCTGCATTCCTTTCCATCTGATTTGATGGTTGCAGAAATCTAGGCACAGACTCCTTTATCAAAGGCAGCCTGGAAAGTAAAGAAGTCACCAGAGGGCCACCTGCTTGTCACGTGAGCACGAATGGACGGGAACTGGGGAAGCCCCTGTATGTCTCTCTTGCTGCATTGCTGGGTCATTGTACCTACAGCAGTATGAGGAGGAATTACTGTTGAGGATGTAAAAATAAGAGATAAAGTGCCGGGAAGGGAACTCTGGGTGGTTATGTTGTTGAGAGTGTGTGCGGCACAGGATGTTCTCCGAGAAAGAAGACTTGAGACTTAGGCTCAGAGTGACTGCCAGAGTGGGATTGGGCACCAGGGCTCACACAGACCTGCTGGCGGCTGCAGACCTTCAGAATTCAGTTTTGTTCTGGAACAGTATGGATCAAGGTCCAAAGTGGTTTGCAATCCACCAAGTAGTGGATTCTGCCGGCGAAGGCACGCAAAAGTATTCTGGGGGTATTGGTGGCCAGGGAGAATAGGGAAATATCAGGCCCAGTGTCCACTGGAATCAGGCACGTGTGGGTTCAAACCCCATCTCTATAATTAACAGCCCGTAGGTAACCCCAGTGAGTCCTGGTGGCCCCTCCTGTGAAATGGAGAAATGCCACCCAGCGATTAGGGAGACACACAGGTCACACAGACACACAACTCGCACAGTTTGCGCTGTAGAAGTACTAGCTTTGTCCTTGGTCTAATGTAAGTTTGAAGCTCAGCACCAGAGTGTAAAATAACAAATGCTTGAAAGTCCCAGGCTATGGGTATTATTCTGCATGAATGAGGAACGGCTGAGCCTAACACAGTTTGCAACCTCTTTTCATCGCCAGCCGTGCAATGATTTCCTAGTGAGATTCCTCAGAAGGCTTGTGGGGAAATCGTTTAGAAGTCCTCTTGCCAGAGAATCAAGAGAATCAAGAGTAAGGAGGATGCTAAGGTACCATATCGACAGACACCATTTCGGTGGTTCTTTTGAGCCCGACAGTCAGGTCTTATAACCATTCTGCTTCCCACACATTCTGCTGGTGAGAACACCTGGGACTCCCTTGTTCCCACCCTTACCTCCTCAACAATCGTTCTTCAAGCTACTAGTGCCCACAGTGACCGTGGAACGCAGCAAGGAGGAAGAAAGAAATGTGCAGGTTTGTTTGATCTTAATTTTGTCTTTGCACCATGCTCTCCCTCCTATTCATTGTTATGTGTCCACGCTGAGTTTTTTCTGCTCCCCATTAGAAGCCTAGTTACTGACTCCATGGTCTGCCAAAAGTGCAGGCATTATTTAAGCCCAGCTCCTTACAAGACCAGGGATGTTTCCTAGCCAGGGGTTGGGAAATTCCCTGCAGAGGGTTTGGCAGGAAATACTTGCAGTTTGCAGACCATATGGTCGTCTCTACGGCAGCTACTTAGCTCCCATCCTAACAAGTGAGCACACTGTAGATGTGACTGTCACAGTACAGCATTACCTGTGCAGACCGTCTCTCGTTGGCCTGGAACTGCCCGGCGGGCCAGGCTGGCTAGCCTTCAAGCTTCCGGGATCTGCCTGTCTCTGCCTCCTGTCTCACTGTCCCTGAGGTTATAGGCTATGTCACTGCACACAGCTTAATGTGGCTTCTGGGGACCCCAGTTCAGGTCCTCGGGCTTTCAGGGTAAGTGAGGCTGTTTCTCCAATCCTGCAAGCTGACTCTGACACCCCTCCCCTGTGGCAGGAGCTCTGAAAAATGGGAGCAGGGGCCCTTCTGCACCAGAGATCATGTCCTAGCTCTTATGTGACTTCTCGGCAGCACTGACCATGATGCCCTTCAAAGAGACGCTGTGGTGAGAGACACCCAACTTCAGGCTTAGCCATCATTCGTTATGCGATTGAGCAGCATTGGTAACACTCGCAGTACTATGCAGCAACACTGCTATCTGTTTCCAGAACTTTTTCATTGTCCTATGAGAAATTATGTATACATTAAACCATTAACTCCCACCTCCCTCTCCTCTTAGTCCTTGGCAAGCCCTAGTCTAGTTTCCATCTCTATGACTCTGTCTCTTCCCAGACATGGAATGACAGACACACTTTGTCCCACAGTGTATGGTTTAGAATTTACTTATGCTGTGGCATATATCAAAACTTCATTCCCTTTTCAGGCTGATTAGTATTCAACTGTATAGCTAGACATTTGGCGACAGCGACTAACACTGCAAAGAACACAGGTTCTGCGTGTGTTCTGGAATCCCTGCTTACAGTCTGTCTGGATCTAAATCTGAATGTGGAATTGCTGGATCGCATGGCGACTCCCGATCCTCCTGAAGCCGCCCTTCAGCATGTCCTACCAGTATGTTGGCTACACTGCTTCCCACGGTGGTGGCACCACTGACATCTCTACCTGTGATACACAAAGGTGATGTAATGCACGTCAAGTTGTCTTTATCCCTGGCCAGGGCTTGTCACTTCCCACCTTCTGATACCAACCATTGGAGTGGAGTGACGTGCATGTCCTTTATGAATCACTCTAGGGGGTTCCTGGAGACCACCTCCCCTGCCCCGCATCTAGTTTTCTTCTCATTGGTCAGCATTCTCCGAGCACCGTGAACAACATTGGGGCTGGGTCTCACCTAACCCTGACGACAGCATTATTGTGCTAAGTAGCTTGACCCATGCCACACAGGGTGTACCATGGGTAGATGCTATGGCCAGAGTTCTGGTCCTAACACCCACAACCCACTACTAGAACCCATCTCTGGATGCCAGAACAGCACTGCCACCATTTTTCTGAACGCCCTCCAGTCTCCATGACACCTCCTGGGGCAGAACTTCTAAATACCTGTTCTAGGTCACTTCCCTTCTACACCTGCTCTTCCTGGGCCAGCTCACAGTTTTACAAGGGTGATCGATAAGCACCATTTACACACTCATTGCTGCCCATGACTAGTCACAGCTAGGACTCCCCCGCCCCCCCCCGACCTGCAGGCCCACAGACCCAGGTGTCTGGTGTATAGGTAGATTTCCCTGCTGTATCCCACATTCAACAGATCTAAAACAGAACAGCTTCCCTGAAAACCCATTCTTCCTCCTGTTTCTCGTTGTCCCTCCAAGAACAATGTCATTCTGTAGGACAACATTGCCTATGTAATTCCAGAGGCTGAAGATGTTGATGACGCGGCTCTTCCCAACCCCTCCCTTCTTTATTTAAAATATTGATAAACCATTGATCATACAGAGATTCCATCTGGCCACCTCTCTGAGCCCTGCTGTACTTGCTCCCTTCCAGCCCTCCACCATCTCACCATGACTTTTGTGGTCACCCCCTTTTCTCCTTCCTGCATTCTCCAGCAGAAGCACCAGTAAGACACAAGACTCATCACGCTGCTCTTCTGGTTTTCAATACCTTTTTATCTCAGAAAAGTATTCGGGCATAATTCAATAGGAATAGAATAGTTGCATAGGGAGATGAAAACCAGTTCTTCCTAATGTTAGTGTCTTAAATAGTTGGGGGTGCAGTTATGAAACTAAAATGTTGTGTGGGGTGGTGGTGGCACACACCTTTAATTGCAGCACTCAGAAGGCAGAGGCAGGTGGATCTCTGTGAGTTTGAGGCCAGCCTAGTGCACAGAGGGAGTTCCAGGCAGCTAGGACTGTTACACAGAGGAACTCTGTCTCAAAAAAAAAAAAAAAAAGCAAAAAGAAACAGCAACAAAAAGTGAGCAAACTAAGATGTTTTTACCACTGTGCAATAATATTAACTTAGCTGTGGACTTGTTTCTGATTTTTCCCACGAAATCTCCATTTCCTGTTTTAGAACCTAGTCTAGAACCACAGGCTTTGGGGAGGAATACCATGGAGATGATATGCCCACCTGACTGCATTCGTCAGGGACATACAGCATCGCCACCAATGCACTGAAGACAGTGCTTACATTGACCAATCTGGCGAAAGTGCTATCAGCCAGCTTTCTCCCTGAGTAAAACCACTATTATTTTTTTTCCTTTTCCAAGTTCTACGCGTTATAAATGCCCCACTTCCTTGGGAGGAAGTATCAAAAAATATTTGGACATATGTTAAAAGCAACACTCCACTAATACATATTTGGGGAGATGTACTGAGGCTATGCAAATATTGCCTTCTGCTTAGAGTGACCAGTGTTAGTATCTCTCTGTGACCCTGCCTGCAATAAATTGCTACCATAGTGTCCTGGGGTGACCTTTCTGTTTCCCTCACACTTTCTATGTGTACAAAACGGGACTCACCAGTGTGGAGGGTTTGCCTGTCTTCTCCTATAGCTTCAACATTTATACTCCCCCATTTCTTCGATGGTTCCCTTAGGGATGGTGCCCAAACAATGCGACCCATGCTCTTTCTTCTTTCGCAGCTTCCTCCTTCCGACTCTGTTCACAGCCACTCCACTTTCGAGCCACTTTACCCACAAGAAACCACCCCCAAGCTACCACATGTTCACAGGTCCCATGCCTTCTTCCACCTGAGCTCTGTTGAGAATGTCATTTTCCAAGCCTCGTTGACTAAGCTCCCACTGCTCCTGGTCTCTGAAAA